CAACCTTTTGTTCTAAGGATAACAGTTGGCGGACACTACAATTTCTATGCGTATTCAGTGGACTGTCAATTTTGGTAAGAAAAAAGAAAAAATGATATAAATACTTTAAAAAACTATGCCAATGAGTGCGTAATATGGTAAATTATGCTTTTACAATTTATCTTCCAAATTCCAATCCATCATCTAGATTCCAAGAAGTCAAACGTAATTAATGTAATTAAACGTAGTATTTTTACTAGTGCGTGACTCATGTCATGCACAGAAAGTAATAATACAATTGTATTATAAATTAAATATATAAAATAATATTAATCATGATTATCACTTGTTTTTAAATTAAACTGGGTTTGACAATATCCAACACTGAGAACCAGATTGTAACAAGTCTATTTTGCTTGAATAAAATACTTGTTATTGAATTCGTCAACACCTGTCGGTTGGACTGATAGGGACGATAGCATTTTCTAGATAAATTTTGTTACATTTTAAATTATATTAAATAAAATTACATATTTAAATAAAATAATGATTTATAAATTGTTTATATATTTAAGTAACACATTTTATTTAAATCTATTAAAAAAATACTATATATATATTAAAATTTTTATAAATTAAAATTGGAACAAACCACAAATAATTTAATAAAATAATTTGATTGTTTCGATGACGGTCTAATTTAAAAACCTTATATTTATTGTACATTAATAAAAATTATAACAAGATATTCTTTTATATTAATGACATATAAATATTCATAAATCATTGAGTATGTTTTCATAAAAGTATTGCTAATATGATTATTTGAAGTTTTGACTACATTATAATTATATTCACGTAATATAATATTTTCAATAAAAAACTATATTTAGGTTCAATAATCGATTTGGTATGATCAAACTGATATATAACTTAGGACCACTTAAGTTGTGTCTAGTTTTTTACTATTTTAAATATCACCTAAAAAAGCTAAAAGTAATTCAATCAACCTGGTCAGTACCTAATTCAATCAGATCCAAAGAAATTTCATTATTTTCTTTAAATATATTTGATTCTATGAAATAAAAAAATATTTTATGATTCATATAATAAATGTCTACACAAAATGATAGTATACTAAGAATATAAATATATATATCTAAATACGAATTATTTATTCTTACTTTATTCATATTAATAAAAAAATAAACATAGTAATATTAAAAAAAATAGATTAATTGATTCGTTATTCAATTTAAGATTTTTTTTTTTGTTGCTACTATTTTTGGTAAATGGTTATTTTTATTATATATATATAGATTCTATAAATAAAATAAAATTCGTTGGATTAATATACACTCACGTAAAAAGTTAACAGAAAATTCAACTTAAATCCCTAGTGCCCTTTTCAACTTCCAAATCAGTCCCCTCTCTAATATTTTTCCTCTGCACTCCCTCACACTAATTTTCTCTTTCCACTTCACTCCCTATATATATAGCAATGATATTATTATTCATTTATTTTATCTAAGAATCATAAAAAATTGAGAAAAAAAAAATCAGATCTCTCTCTCAATTCATCTTCGTTCTGAACTCCATCGCCGATTCAAATCTCTATCTCTCTCTCAATTCATCATCTCTATTTCCTATCACTTATATTTTCTCGGCGAAAACACATACAAAACACTCACCGCTCCCATTCTTCCGCCGGGGTTCCGCCCCGGGCTCAAAACTCGCTTCCTGTCACTCGCGGCGGATTTTGTCTCGGCCTGACGCCCGAGCCCTATCTTGTGGTCAATGAAGCGGAGCGTGAGTTTTTCGGGCCCGGGATTTTACGATTTCGGGCCTAGGTCGGGCGGCCGGTGGTCAGGGAATCTGCGGAGGAGGACGCCGGTGCGGTGGCGAGCCCTAAATCGATGGGCCTCCCGGATGCTTTGGGGCTGGGAACGTTATTCGTGCTTTGGTTCATGTTTATTGTATCAAGCAGGTGCTATTCATTGTTATTAAAGATTGTTATTACAGGTGCTATTCACTGTTATTACAAATTGTTATTACAAGCATGTGGATATAAATAAATCAAGATTCAGGTTTGGTTTGTGGGGTTTGATGCCCGACTTCACATTTGAATGGTTCAAGGTTTTGTGTTGTAATGTTGTTAGTTTTGTTCCACTGCTTCTATTCATTGTAATCACATATTGTTAGTTATGTAGCTGACTAACTTTCTAAAACAAGATTTGAAATTAAGGTGCAAGAGAAAGTGTTTGCAACAAACAGAAGAGAATCAATTCATTTGCTCAACATTTTGGCAATTGCAAACCTGCTAGGAGAGTTCGGTTTTTAGTTTATTGTCGGCAAAAAATTGAAATCGAACCGTGTTTTTGGTAACTGAAAATCGGTTACCGACTTTTAATCGGTTCGGTTTTGGTTTCGTATTTTAGTGTTACCGAATATATCGGTTCGGTGTCGGTTTTCTCGTATCGGTTAGGTTACCGAACCGATACCCACCCTAGATATAGTTAGTGCACTTGAACTTGAACTAAGATTTCAACTCTATTTTTAATCCTTTGGTTAAACTTACTTGCTAAGGTTCTGTATTGATTGTTAACAAGAATGACGGGGTTTTGTTTCCTTCTTGTTTTGGTTATAGGATTCTCAAAGATTTTCATTACCTGGTACATTCATGTAGGAAATGCAATTTTTGTGTGGTTGTATTCCTTAGCTTTGGCATTTAGGATTGTCAGGCGAAGGCCTGTTTTTTACCCTACCCGATGAATACCCAATCGTGAAAGAATTACAGTATCCGGCTATTTTGATAGAGTGATTGTGAAATGTGTTTCGTTTCTTAATATTTTATGACAAAAAGGTAAAATAATGTTTATGTATCTGTAGATACCTTAAATTTACACTTTGTTTCTGATTAATTATTATATTTATTTTTCGGGTTCTTACCATATTTTCAGTATTTGTAGGGTTCTTGTCGTATTTTCGGGTTCTTATCATGTTCTCGAGTATTTGTATATTTTTCTTGTCTGTGTTTGCCAAGTGTCTGATGAAATGCTTGTAAAATAATGATTGTTTAACTTTGCTGATGAATAGTAAAACTTTGGTGATGTAGATTGGATGAGTTGTCCTCATTTTTGTTGTAGATGCATTTCATGAAGGTTATTTTACTATTTTATACAAGTGTGCACAGTTAATGTCATCTTATTGATTTCTGGAAGCTTCTTCTAGTGTTGATCGGTATCATATTTTAGAACAATGTAATTATTCGATATTTCGTAATTGAAGATAAATCACGAAGAACTATATTATCTATTTATTTATTCATTTTACTTTTTGTTTGCCTATCGAATCCAATTTTTCTTCACATTAGTACCAATCTTATACAATATTAGTACGCGTTTTATAGTAGTTAGTACCTACTCTGTAGAAAGAAAAAGATGTGAATATTTAAAATAAGTTATGTTTTTTTAAAATGATACCAATTTTTCTTCACATTAGTACCAACCTTATGCAATATTTGTACTCGTTTTATAGTAGTTCTACCTACTTTGTAGAAAAAAATTGATGTGAAAGTTTTATTTATGTTAAGTAAAATGGTACCAGCTTTACTACAAATGGTACATATAGTTCTTATACGCTGTACATGTTTTTAATCAATTAGTACCTACTTTGGTCAACACAAATGGATTATTCAATTTTGGTCAACATTTGTGAAATTAGTACCAAACCTAAAGTTAGATAATACTCATTAAATGGTATTTTAGTACCAGAT